AAAACTGGCGGGAGGGCGCGCAGTCAGAGCAGGGGCGGAGGGCGCGCAGTCGCACGGTCGCAGAGTGATTTTGCTGAAGAGATAAAACGAAAACGGAAGAATGAAAACGATTATAAATCGTTTTCAGATTTTCATATAAGGACAAGAACGTTTTTGTTTTTAATTTTTCAAAAATTTAACGCCAAACGCGTTTTTTTTACTCGTTTTCATTTTTCATTCTCAAAAATCGTGAAAAATGAAAACGAGAAGGGAAACAAACAGGGCCTTTGGGTCTTTCCTTCATCAAAAGAAAAGGGATATTTACATTGTGTTTTGGATTTATTCAAAAATTATACTTTCAAATGTTATCTCATTTAATGTATACTTTTAAATTAGATTTAATGCCTTAATTTATACCTTTTCACAGTCAACCCTCGATTTTAAGCATAAAATACCTAAAGTACCCTTAAATAAAAATAGAAAAAAAACCTAAAAAAAACTTTAAGCTTACAGTTGTAACCTAAAAAATATCTAAAATACCATTAAAATGGAGTTTTTTTGTGTTTTTAATTTTTATTTGTTGTAATGTTGAAAATTTTTAGTTTTATTTTTTCTCTTTTTCTTAAGGATAGTTTGGTTATTTTAAATATCAAAATCAATTAGTGACCGAGATAAGAGATAGATTTATATATAAAATTAAATTTAAAGGTATGCATTTAATAATATCAAAAATTGAAGGTATATATTTTGAATAAACCCAAAATAAATGATATTTCAAAAAAAAAAAAAATCCTTGGGAAGGAAACTAAAGCCATTCCAAGCACGGCAATAACAGCAACAAAAATATTTTAAGCTCGTTTAATTTAGGGGTGGCAATTCGTGTCTCGTGTCGTGTTTTGATTATTTTTTAAAAATTTACAGTCAACCCGAACACGACCCGTGACATGAAATTTTTTAAAAACCGCGACACGAACACGACACGACACGACTCGAAAATGACCCGTGACACGAAATTGACCCGTGAATCCGAAATTGACACGAAAATTGTATACTTTTATTTAGTTTTTTACATATTAGAAATAACTTAAAATTCATAACACACTAAATTACAATAACATCCATTGAAATTAAGCAAATAATAGTATAAGATTTTGAGTATAACTATCATGATATCACAAGCTCATAATAAAATTTAAAATATGTAATGAAAAATATATGTATTTTTTAGTTTTTTACGAGTTTTGTGTCGTGTTCGGGTTAGGCGAGTCCAACCCAAAATTGACCCGTATTTTTCGTGTCAATTTCAGGTCGACGTAATTCTGACCCGAACCTCTTTTTTCTCAACCCTAACCCGTAAAATTCGTGTCATTTTCGAGTCGTGTCGTGACTTATATTACCGGTCCTAATTTAATTAATGTATTTAAATTAATAATTTTTAATTTTAATATTTAAATTTTAAATTTTTTATGACAAAAAAATATTATAGTAAAATTAAAATCATAACTTCAACCGACTCCCTACCAGATTTCATTGATTAGCTCACATAAAGCAAAAGGAAAACGAGAATGGCACTTTCGCAATTTCCGGAAACAATACGCCCAATTTGAGAAGATAACGTTTGAATATGAATGAAGGAACACGCCCGTGCTTCCACTTTGGCACTTGTTTCTTTCCTTCCACCGTCTCTCTCTCTCTCGCTCGCTCGCTCACTTTCTCGAACCCAATTTTTCATAACACAAACCACAAAGCACGTCGTCCAAAAAAATTCCCCCTTTTGTTATTTTCTTTCTTTCTCAAAAGCCTTTTACAGCAGACTAGATTGGATTTCTTTCCTCTACTTTTCTTTTTCTTTTACTACTAAATGCTTCTTCCAAAATTCACTCTTTGTCTCCAGCAACCTCTGAATCCGAATCTCACCCCTGTACCACTTTCTCTTCTTTTCTCTCGAAAAAAAAAAAAAAAAAAAAAAAAAAAAAAAAAAAAACGGATTTCTGTTCTTAATCTCTTAATTCCATTGTTTCTTCTTTCCCGCCCATTTCTTAATTTCTTTCCAATTTGTTTGAAGTGATTTTTTTGTTGTTGAATTGAACAGGGAGTTTGGTTATGGGTGGCGGTGATGGTGGTGGTGGTGGTGGTGGTGGAGTGGTGGAAGTGATAAAGAGCAAGGGTTGCTCTCGGCTGCTGGTCGGGCTTTCGCCGCCATTGAATTCGTTCAAAGGTCTACAACCGGTTAAGCCGATGTCTCCTGCTGCATCTTCCTCCGTTGCCTCCGACCGGTCGGCGGTCCGCTCCGGTGCGCCCTTTCTTGGCCTCGTTATCTGCGTCACCGGTCTTTCCAAAGGTTTGACCTTTTTCAAATTCTACTTCCTGGTTATGGTTGTGGGTGTTGATATTAAGCAGGTGATTTTTTTTTTATAGGAATTATCACTGAAGTTATGATATTGTATGATATTCTGAATCGTTCATTAGTGATTTGCTATTTACATGTTTAAATTATGCGAAAAAGAATCGATTTTGGTCAACAAAAATATGTATTGTGATCATTCCTTCTACTTGTTTTGGCAGAAGCAAGGAAACAAGTTATGGAAGCAACGGAGAGATTAGGTGGGCAGTATAGCCCTAATTTACATCCACAATGTACACATTTGGTGGTTGAAATATCCTTTTTCTTGTAAATCGATTTTTAAATCAATCTCATGTGTAATATATTTGCTTATTTGGGTAAAAGAAGAGATTGATTCTGCAAGTTGATTTTGTTTAAAAAGAGGGTTGAAAGAACTCCTTAACGAGTGTTACAATTTCGGCGGGCGCAAGTTTGAGCATGCTTTGAAGCATGGAGCAAGAAATGGTCTCTTCATTGTTACGCTTGGATGGTTTGTAGATAGCGTAAGGAAAAATGGTAAGAGAGAACTGCCTTTTGTTTTGTTCAGACCAATTGTGGTTCATTTCCTTGCAGATTTTGAAAATGTGGGGATCGATTGATTTTGTATCGGTTGATTATTACGTGAATCTTATTGCCTTGTCCTATTTCAGCTAGGCTTAGTGAATCGTTTTATAAAGTCAAAAGCTTTGGAGAAAATGCGATGCCTTTGGATGAATTGAACAGACTCACCGGGTTTTCTGGTGCTGAAAACTCTTGCTTTCCTGTTGGAGTTCGCACAGCAGAAGAGCTGAATGTGCGGTTTCCTGGGAAACAATCTGATAGGTGTTATGACTCTACTCTATCTGGTCAGTCCATGTATGTTGACTTAGATATTTCAGCTGAACTTAGGAATAAGGTAAACCTGAGATAAGTTGTTTTCTTTTAAAGATGTTGTGGATTTACATATTTCTATATAGTAGTGATCCCTGTTCTGTTAAGTTAGCATGGTAAGATTCCGTGAGCATCTCCTGAAATCATTCGATTTTCATTTTAGGTTATTGAGGCAGCTAGTAGAGAAGGTGCCACGTTTGTAGATAAGTGGTTTGTTGGTTGCCATGCCAGCCACGTTGTATGTGAAGGGTCTTCTATCAGGAGATATCTTGGCCACACTAGTAATCTTGTTACGGTGAGTTCTTCAGATGATATTTTCGTCTTTATGAAAACGTGCACTCTGAATATCTCATTTTATTGAGAAAGAATATACCTTCTGGTTGCATGAAATGTTCTATACTCTGACTGACGAATTTCCTGGTAATAACACTTTGGCTTTGTTCAGGGTTTCTGTATATTTTTGTCAAATAATGACATTGCGTGAAAAGTGAAACACAGATGTATATGTTAGATACTAGAGAGTTCTTTCATACTTTTTTTTGTATCATGAAGCTCATTTGACAATGGTATGTCCAGCCACTATGGGTTCTGAAAACAGCCAAGGAGAAGTATGTCCAAAGGCTCGTGCATATGTCGGCTGATTTGGCTAGGCAGGTCAATTTAATGGTTGAAGATTTTCATAGTGGAATTGCAGAGGAAGCAGAGGAGGTATTTTTTGTTCTTTTACAGTCTAGACTGGACTATGTACTCTTTTCTGTTATTTTCTTGTACTAGGAGTCTAGTGCGAATATGACTTCTTTTTTTTCCCCCTTTTTATTGAGATCTGGCAATGTATTACTTGCATGTCTTTCATGGCAAACCTTCATGTGTTGTAAGTTATTTCTGTAGTTATCTTTTGCTTATGGTTATTCATGTAGTTGGCACTATTGTATTTCTAAATCTATTTCGTGAAAGCATTGTTATTGACTCATCAGGTGGTGAAAACAAGAGATATCCCTGAAGATGCTCCAAGTTTTAGAAATAAATTAAACTATGAAGAAAGGCAACAGATTGCCAATTCTGCAAAAATTGGCGTCAGAAATCGTCGTGCTCGTCGCATGCAGGTCAGCAGTAATTGGACTGCGCTTCATCAACAATTTAAATCGCATAGAATACATTAGACATATTGATAAACAATAATTTTTATACTCATCCTCTTACAGACCTTTCAAACGCCAATGCGTCCTATAACTCCTACCAGCCTTCTGGATTCAATTTGCTGGTCAATCTCTGAGCCAACTTCTACTGCTTCTATTTACACGGACTCTTTCAGTAGTGAAGGTATGAGTGAACATCATACACCTCAATTTTTTGATGCAAAAGGAAACGCCAAAGATTCAGAAGCTTCCTTTGCAAACTTTACCCGGCCGCTTACAGAAAGGTTTTTATCTCTGTCCCTTTCCTACTCTAGTAAAGTTTAGCTGTTCATCATCTTATAAGCAGTGCATTATCTCACGACATATATTTCTTTATACACTTGTTTGCAGTGAAAAATCTGAAGTTATATTCAGGAACAATTTTCTTACTATACTATTTCCTGTTGACCGATTTGCTGAGGTAGGGCCATCTTCAAGAACTTTTTTCAGTGATGATGGCTTTACGTGCTTGCGGGTGTTGGATCACATATATGCATTTTATCAGGTATAAATTTGATACGTTTCCTTCTAGGATTATCTTGTGTCCAAACTAGATCTTCATTTAACCGGGCCTGGAACGAACTACGAAGTATCATTTGAAATTTCCATCCTCTTCATGATAATGTGGTTATGTTGTGCTCATTTTCATGATAATTTGGTTATATTGTGCTGTTTGCAGGAAAACATGTCGGTTAATGAAACAGAGGCTGCAATCCACACCGACTCGAAGCACGCTGACAGGCTCCGATCAGTCTACTCCAGCAGAGAAACAGCAGATCGTGGTTACGTGATCTTCAAACGGTTTAACTTTTTGGGAAGTCGGAGGAGTTTTGAGATGTTGAAGCGTGTTAGCGGGGAAAATAACAGTAATGTATATGAGCTGTTGATCAGAGCGTGAGATCTCCATATCAGCGTCGGATGACTTCCCTCTCGGAGACCGTGGAGCATATAACTCACTGTTTACTGTTCAGAAAAATTCAAGGAGAACAATGTTCTCTCTCGTATTATACAAAGTAGCATTAGATTTGTCTGTTGCGTTTGTCGTGCACATTTGGCTTGAATGTGTCAGATTTTTTTTTTAATTTTTTTAATTTATTTTTTTTCTAATTCAAGAGCTTGTTAACTCATGTGGCTGGGGAAGAGCCGCTTTTGCTCCTCCCTCCTCCCGACCCACATTTGAAGGAAGTGCCTTCCCACTTATTGCGGTTTTGGGTCCTTTGTACATTTTATACACAATTGGTCTTACGAAACGTTATATATCAGATGGCTTGGCGGGCTATTATATGCAAGCTTTTAAGTGTTTTTGTTTTTCCATGTACACTTCTTTTTTACTTTATCTCTTTTGTGCTGATTTTGGTTTTCTACATTGATTTATTTTGCAACGAGCGCTCGTAATTCCTAATTATGATGTATTTGTGTAGAGATGACATGTATTTACAACATTTTAATATTCAACAAAATAATGCTCCGTAATTTACAAACCGAGCAAGGAAGGCATTTTCTCTGGAGCGTATTCATAAACCAAAATGAAACACGGTTATATAAACGACGTTAATTTTTTTAAACGACAAGTAGCTTCAAAAATAAACCGCAACATCATTTAAAAGTAAACGACTGTCGTTTTTATGACGTGCGGGGTGATAAACATTTGAGTTTTTTTGCATAATTCGAGTAGCCTTCGAAAAATAATTAAGAGAAAATAGATCCAATCTTCACGCGGGTATATTTTGACTAGGATTTGATGTCAAACATTGATGTACATTGTATATGTTCACTTCAATTAGGATTAGGATTTACATCACTAGCTCAATAGCCGACACAACTTCTATATATAGATAGATATGCAAGCGTTTTAGGTTTGCCATATTACTGAGTTTGATCATTGGTATAGAGGAACTAGCTATTGTGAGAGTGATAAGGCTCCAACTAAAGGTTTTGGATCATTGCCCTAAAAAGACCTTCGTCTGTCTCTTAAGTACTATCAACTTTCATGTTTTTGTATTTAAGAGCCAGGACGAAGGGCTTTGTAGGGCAAAGATTGTAAAATCTTTAGTTTTGGGGTCAATTTAACAAGTTGCCACATCCATTATTTTACATGCAAGCACATTTATAAAGCAGCATATATTAACTCCTTTTAATTTCTCAGTTTTTTTTTTCGTTATTGTATTTTAATGGCATTAATATATGTAATTATGCATGAAACATATAAATGTCCTAAAGTCTGAACATCGAATTCCTATAATTTTATAAAGTTAATGCCGATCTTCAGAGAATGTTAAAGGTTTCTTGGTTTTCTTTCTTTTCTTTCTTTTTTGTTTTCTTTTTTGTAATTATATATATATATATATATTGCAATTGATATATCTGTTTATACTAATTTCCTCTGCTTTTGTGATTCATAAATTAAGATGTGGATTGTGGGCTATAACTTTTTATTTATTGCAAAAAATATTACGTACGATTAATAATTTTGTTCTCTTTTTTTCCGGTAGAAATAAGATACAAACAAATATGCGACAAGCCAATAACATCTTTGAGCAACATGATATTAAAATCTATATCCTTGATTTAAAATTTTGGGTTTCAAAGGTAAGCTTTTCAAGATGTCTACAAATTAAGCCAAAACTCTGCTTTACTTTCTTGATAATGTTTTCTTTAACGTTATACATGTGCTTTTCATGCTAAGTTTGTTCTTTTTTTTCTTCGTTATTTTTGTACTTAACAGTGTTATATACGTATAATTATATATACAGTCAAATAGTTGGCTCATCTTCACAGAATTGGTGGAATACTTTTCTTGTTCTTTTCTTCTCTTTGTTTTTTTTGCTTTTTTTTCTTTTTATAATTATTCAGATTCTCTAGTACACCGATGTACCGGTAGGTCAGGTTTTTCTAACCGTTGAATTTGTGTACTTTTTGAATTTTACGTGATTTTATGCAGATCTAACAATTAAAAAACCTAACATACCGATATGTTGGCGTACCAAAAAAGAATTCTTGTTATTCGTCTTATTTATTAATTTCTTGTGCTTTTGTCAAAACCGCATGCACATCATGAGTACTATAGCAATTGTAATACTAGTAAGAGGTATGCACGTGCCCCTTGTATTGAGAAATCTCACTCGTAAAATATCATTGTAATGTATATGAAATTAGATTATTTATCAACAATGTGCTTCACTATTTGAATTATGAGGAGTTTTTACTATAACACACCTCATCTCATGTTAACGTTGGTAGTTTTTAACGATACAATCATGTTTTGCTTGTGAAAATTTTCTAACATTTTCATTTATTCGAATATGCCTTTAAGTGTCATCAGACAAGTAAGGTCATTGTAAACCCTCTACCCCAATCAATTTATTCGAGTCACTCTGAGTCCCACTTAAGAGCGGTGACATTCCCCTCTCCCTTTGGACCAATTTCATTTGCCTCGAGGCCTTACAAAATGTTATCCAAGCTAATTCCAATACTCCAGCACCCACCCAGAGGTGCTTATAAACCAACTAAACACAATTTTAAACATCATAATATCAAAGTATTAAAATCAATCTTAAAAAAAAATTAAAATTCTACATTCAAACGACGGAACACTTTTATACGACAAAGTTTCTGTCGTTGGTTAAAATAAGGTCAATTCTTTTATACGACCAAATACAAACAAAACGAAAACCGCGGTTAACGAAGAATGATGGAAATTATCGGAACGATTTATAATTATCTTGAAGGTGAAAACGACTAACTGCCCCGTTCACTTCGCTGATTCGAATTTAGAATTCGAGTTTTTCTACAGTAAAAAGCACTCACAAACAATCACATCTAACTTTTTTGCTACAGTAAAAAGCTCTCACATAAAATCACATCTCAACTCGAATTCTAGATTCGGAATGATTTGTTGCTGGAAATTAACAACGTCATACTTCTTGACGTATTTTAAACGCAAAAACAAAGTTCCAGCTATTAACGAAGAATGATGTGTAAATCTTCCATCATCCATCTCCCACCAATAATAATCATCCGTCATTTCAAAGAAAGCTTACGGAAATTATATATATGTATAGAGAAAAAGTTTACTCGGAGTAAACAAAATGAAAATTCGTGTAAAATGGTAAGAGATACGTTTAGTATGTGTTAAATAAACTAACAACATGCAGGTTGGATTAGCTTTATTTTTTACAGAATTTGTATCAGATATCTACAAGATGAACATTTAATAAAGAGCTCAAATTTTGACGAGGAATTGCCTGTTTATAGCATCTTATAATTAATGGAAGATAATAAAGGAAAAACTGTCACGGCCCACCAATCACGAGTTTCCCCCGCCGTTGGAGCTCATAAAGCAAGACCAGCGCCGCAGAGTCGAGTGAACTCTTCTTGTCAGCTCTGGCATCTCCAGTGCATTCAATATTGCCAAAGTTGGGAACGTACAGAACAATACTTGATACAAAACTGTTAAAGCCTGTTCTTCTTTCGAGGCCTTCACCGAGTTCAACTGGGGTTCTATGGGAATTAAAGAAATAGACGGTTAGACGAAAGTTGGAAAGAAGAGTGATTTAAGTACAGTTTTGTTGCTTGTTTCACCTTGATTTAGTTTCGGTTGAGTCGAAGGTCGGCATTGGCCATTGTTGCTTCTTGCACAGATCAAAGAGCGTTGTTCGAGGTCCTCCCTTCTTCATGTTGATTCCCGAAATATCTGTGATAATAATAATAATAATAATAATAATAATAGTTATAGTAATAATAATGCGATGATGATAATAATAATAATAAACCATGAAACTTATCAATCGGAAAGAAAATTGTAGAGATAATGGTATCGTTAAAAAAATGCGAAGAAGATTAGATAGATGGTGCAAACCTGGGGTATCACTGTTAGGAGAACTGGGTTTCTCGGAAAAGCAGCCGGTATCTAGAGGAACTCTAGTCGACCCTATGAGCAATTCGCTTTCGGCAGTCTTATGCTTTTTAAGGTTCAACATGTCTACAGAACCTGCATCAATTATTCCGTTGTGTAAATCAATGCTCATGTCTAAGGAAGGTGACTCAGCATCACTAACAACACTATGCTTTCTCTTCTTGGAGCTCCAGGAGTATGAAATACCTCTGGCCTGCAATATCACAGTTCACTAGTATTAGTATGGTGATAAGATCATTGCTTTCAAAGACATAAAGCTATATTCTATATAAGCAACATTTTTGCAAAAGATAACAAGAGAGCAGGAATTAACGAAACCTCCAATTCCTTCAACAAACAACGAGCAGCTTCTCCTCTCGCAGTTTTTCTTGTACGGTCTTGACCTTTTCCAACCAAGAGCACATCTTTCAGCTGTAATGTAAGCTCCGCGTGCACGGTTTCACCTTTCTTTGTGCATTTTTCTTTAATAAAATACCCAAGAGAGTCGCACAACTCGATCAATTCGCGCAGAGGCGGCAACTCGAGTTTATCAGGGGTCACAATTGGAGACAGTAATGGTTCAAATATTCTCCAAACTTCATCAAGATTAAGCTTGGTATCGATTAACACTGCACCAGCAATACTTTCTACCATGTCTCCTAGAGCCTGAAGGATACACAAAAGAAAAGGTTCGGAAAAGCTCAACCATGTTTCTGTAAGCTAAGTTACAAACAGAAAGTATAAAATAAAAGTTAAAAAAAAAAAACCTTGCCTTGGGACCTTTGGCACCATGAACTGATTTAGTTGTGCTGTTAGGTTCAGAAAAGGACTTCACATATTCTGTTATCTGGCTAAGAAGCAACCCCGAGAAATGTTGGAGATGAGGTTGAAGATCTCGTCTCACAGCGGTTTGAGCAAAATTCTCATTACTAACGGAAGCTGATCGCAAGTCAGTCAACTCCCCCGGGTCAATATCTTTATAGGTCTCGTAGAGGTACCGTGTTATAAGCAGGTCCAGCACTGAATCACCGAGAAACTCAAGCCTCTGAAAAGTTCAAGTTAAAAGATAGACCTATGGAACTCTCACTTAACAAGTCGTATATTTTGTTGTAAAATCACACATATCCTAAAATCCTAAACTACCTGGTAACAATAGCCGAGGCTGACTTCTTGATCAGTTGCATGTGTTATGGCTTCTTGTAAGAGACCTTTAGTCAAAAACTCATATTTGAGCTTCGACTCCAAGGTTGCAATCTCGTTGGCTTTTGGGACGTAGGTTCGAAGAGACGCAATAGAAATCGCTTCAACAACTAACAAAGGCTCAAGTTCGGCATCCATACCGAGCCACTTCATCATATAAATTGCAGCAGCTAGTCCGCCACCAACATAGTAAGCGCCTACGAGGGCTTCCACACAATCAGCCACAGTTTTCGAACCCATCCATCTATGACCTTTATCACAGGACTTTCCAACAATGACTTTCAGGTCTTCAGTTTGGAATTTGCTTTCAAGAGGTACTTCTAAAGTATCCACTCCACATTTACATGGAACTGGGCGTAAAGTATGTTGCCCTGGAGCGGCCCAGCGACGTGGATCAAATGCGCCATCACGTATGTACCCCTACAAAAGAAAACCCAAATTAAAATTTTAAATAATGATATGAGAAAACAGTATTAAAGACAGATAGCAGAAATAAGATTTTATACCTGTAATTTTCTATCTGTTCCCAGTTTATGCAGATTGGCATTACAAACAGCAGAAGACCGTCGCCCAGAGAGCTGTCCTTCGTGTTTCTTCGGATATTTGAGAAAGAGATGGCAACTCGTAACATACTTTAAAACCGAATCACCAAGCAACTCCAAACGCTCCATGGAAAAACTTTCACAACATCTAAGTGTTGTAAGTGCTTCTAAAATCTAATCACCAAAGATATTTGTTACATTAAACACAGAAATTCAAGGTTTACCAAGAAGACAAGTGATGAGTAATAAAATTTAGGTGTATATAATATTACCAAGGAGGTTGATATCTGAGCATCACAGTTAATCTCTTCTCTAAGTTGGCTGGCTAACATCAGTGATTCCAAACGATGCATCAAGGATGGTAGTAAATACATTGATTTTATAACACTTCTAGGCACATCCATAGTCACTAAAAGCTCTGGTGGCATATGAACGTGCATTTGTGGCTTAACAACTGCCTTACCAGTACCACCTGCCAGTTAAACAAAAAGTCGAGAAATCAATAAACAAAGCGAGAATCTACCATAAATGATTTAAATGTTCTATTAAGCCGGACTACGAGGAATAAAAAGCACAGAAAGTTCGGGATCATTATTATTTTATAAACTGGGTGCACAAATTCAAAACTAAAATTGGGTATATACAAAAGTTGTATATTATAAAAGGCTCAAGCTTGCAACTTAACAAACCTTCATCATTAAAGTCCACCAGAAGGTTGTGAGCATTATGACTTTGCTTTAACCGCAGCAATGGTTGACCTGGATAAATTAGCTCAATCCCATACCTGTTTCGGACTATCATTATGTAACATCAAAATATAAATAGCAATATCCAAAAACGATCAATAGTTAATAAAACCACTTACTTTTTCTTGAAGTACTCAGCATAGGTAGCATATTGTGATGGAGCTGCATCGATAACCTCAAACGGGCTCTCTGCAGATGTGTTACTTACCACTTCAACTATAGAGTATATTTTTCCAGTGTGAATAGCCAATACTACTGCTTCTTCAAGATTTGAAGTATTAAAAGAACTATTAGCAAAGTGAACTATGTTTTCACCCATGCATTCACTCTCAGGTGGTTCTGTGTCCCCATTACAATGCTGGCCACCCAACAAAGAAATCTTCTTCATCATTTCCACCACTGAAAAACAAGAATCCATCCCTCTCCAATCGATATTCAAAGATTTTTCACTTGGATCATTTGAAGATACAAGTGGAAGAAGAAGGTACATGTATGATGGGCTCCACAACGTTCTCTTTTCATTCTGGAGTAAAAATTCTCTCTCTCTTTTGGTTGATTTTGATCGAATAAATAGCTTCCCATATAATCCATTAAAAAAAAAATCCTGAAAGCATTTTGCTTTCTTCATCTGTTAATAAGGTAAAGACAAGATAGCAGCAAATTAAGTAGTTGTTAGTTTACCAATCCATCCCAAAAACTTAAGCTATTAGGAGGTGGACCAACAATAGTTTTTATACTTTAACACTCCCCCTCACGTGTGGGCTGGACAATGGGTAATCGTGTGGGTAAATTAATTGGAAAGCCCAACACGTGAATATTTAAGTCCGAGATATATTAAAGACCCAACACATGATGACAATTTAAATGGGGATAAGGAGTGCAATTACAGGGGTTTGAACTTAAGACCTCCCGCTCTGATACCATGTTAGTTTACCAATCCGTCCCAAAAACTTAAGCTGTTAGGAGGTGGACCAACAATAGTTTTTATACTTTAACAGTAGTACATTTGCATAACTGAACCATTGTAAGGAACAAAATTTGACTAAAGAAAATTATTTTGTACCTGTTCTGCATCCAAATGCACTTGTCCACAATAAGAAACAGAAGCCTTAACCGTCTTAGAAACCAAGAAGAGTTCCAATTCGAGATTGCCTACGTCGTCATCAAGCTTTGACTCAATTAGAAGAATAAATCCAGAAAAGATCTCACTTTCAATGCTGCATGAAAAGTCAAACTTGTAAGCCTGAAAAACCACATCAAGCTTTTCTCCCCAAGTTCCAGACAGTGCAAGAATACAAGTTGTCCCATGTAATTCCTTCCTTCTAGTTGTTCCTTCAAACACCAAGATAAATATTTTTTTCCCATTAAAAGAATAAAGATAAATAAAATAAAAATACAATGAAACTGCTCAAACAAATTAGTATGAATACCAAGGTGTAGTTAAAAGAACACATATTTATTCAAAATCGCAAAAAGACACTAGACCAATCATATATTTGTTGAATGGTAGATTCACATGAACTAAAGTACCTGCACCTGAAGCAGCTTCTTTGCTTTTCATATTGAGATTTCTTTCTGAAGACTCTTCAGTGGATGGAAGAAGATGATCATCTAGAGCCCCCATCTGATGTAATTTCTTGCATGCTTCCAAGCATACAAGCTGCTTTGACAACTGGGAGCTCGTACTTACAGGACCGACTAACGTTTGAAAAGCCGCATTAGGAGGTAATGTTAGCGTACACTCATAAGACCTATCTCCAAGATTTGAGAATTGAAAAGTTGGCTTCGGAGTAAAGTACCTAATTACAACATAACCAAGAACACAAGAAATAAGGGAGAAAAGTTTGGCATGTTTTTTAAGAAAAAGTGGTTGATGCGGAAAGTAATCCATACTTGTCACTAGGGAGCCGTTCGCAATACCGATGTATGAGACTGACACTGGAATCTGCAGTAATTGAAGCTCCAGTGGCATCCACAAAATAAGCACTGTTTACCTCAGAAGTACATTTTTTCAAAACGCACGTATTAGGATCTCTATTTGTTGCAGTGTCTATCATTGAACGCTCACTCCTGATGACATCATATAGTTGGTCTCTTTGTTTGCTGTTTCCCCTGTAGTTATAAACAAATTAAGAAAACATATTAGGCAAAAACGCTGAAAAGGTTTGACTAAGACAAGCGAGCATACTCCTTAATGGGAATTGATTATGTGAAGTCTAAAGCCAAAATGACGAGAAGAACTCACCTCTCCAACATTATGATAAATTGAGAGTCATTTTGTCGTGCTCGTCCCCTTGACTGGACATAACTTCGGACTGTCTTGGGCAGGTCAAAACGTATCACGTAGGAGCAGTTCGGCACATGAATTCCCTCTTCAACTACGTCAGTGGCAAATAATAGATTGACCTACTTGGAAGGCGGTTATTAAATAGATAGATAGGTGTTCTCGCACTTTTTTTTTGTCAGTTTCTAAATTATAGAATAATGGGACATGTCGTATACCTTTCCAGAGCGAAATGATTCCAAAGTCTCCTTTTGCAATTTTGGAGCAAGTGCATCAACTGATGTATTGCTTCCAGTCAAATATGAAACTGTGAAATGAGATAAACAAGCAACTTTCTTCACAAATCTTTCAATTACTTTAGCTGTGATAATTCTATCGACAAAGACGAGGCAAAGTAATTGCATAGCTCCTCTGCAACCATTAAAAAAGTAAAAAATAATAAAAATGTTATTCTAATCAACTTTTTTGTAGAGATAAATAAAATTTGATCAATGAAATAATTGCATTACCCAAAAGATTGGAAAAGTTCAATAAGCTCGTGTAGTTTTGGAGATATGTAGCCTAAATCCACAGCCTTCAAAAAGTCGCATTCAGAGCCAAAATGATTTTCGTAGCCTGAGTCAAATTGAGAAAATATCAGTGATAAAAATAAATAAATAAATAAAGGACAAACGCAAAGGTATTAGTAGCAAGAAGCTTTAAAGGAATGCAGCTAAAGAAAGTGAATCAAGCAAAGAAAGGCTTCATATAACACCACTAGAAAAGATGTCCACTAAGGTTGATTTTAAGTCCTCATGCCACTATTCAACAAATAAAAATCATATCATAAACAAGATAATTCATCAGCCAGCACTTTGGTAGTTCAATAGATTCAACCTTATGTCAAAGTCTGGTGAGTTGAAAATCAAAGAAAACGAGATTAAGAAAAGGGGGCTTTTTCTTACTAACAATATATTTTTTTTTTTAACAGAGTGGTATACCAGGTTTATGTGCATCCCCAAATTGACATAGCACTTCCTCGAGGAAACATTTGTACTGCATAGAACTTTCTCTAAAAACTTCACAATCTTCTTCGTTATTAGGGGCTTTTTCCAAACATACCTTGACAACCTATCAAACAGAATAAAAATCTATGGAAGTAAATACGAGAACTTACACTATATAAGCAAACACAGTATTTTGGGGGGAAAAACAATAGTTATCAGTGTTTCGTGCACGAGAAGCAAATGCTATATGATAGTTTCAATAGCAGATTGTGTTTTTTCTCATATCGACTGTCACAAACTCATTTCATATGTAGTTTAAATAATCATACCTCATAAGCACATGTGAGACCAAGATCATCAAGGCAATATGTGATCTTTGCGTGGTCATTCGACAGCCTTTTCCGTAATGTCTTAATTCTATCATCAACATCCTTAAAATTATTTTCTACCAACTCTTGCAACTTTGACAATGAAGCATCAAACTGTCCACAAATTCAAATATTTTTCGTTTTCAACATGCCTTAAATAAATAAAATATGTTTGCACATAATGTCTACATGACTGGTCTGCACATAAGTATCCAGTATTTAAAATTCTTTTTGAGTACCTTCAACCATGAGGCTTCTATCTTTGCTTTCAAATCTAAAAATGAATGCCACGTTGGATCATAAAATCTGTAAGTCTCTTTTGCCGAGGGGACATAAACTTCCATCTCCGTCTTGTCTTCAATAGTATAAACCTGAAACCCCAAATTTTAAATACTAAATGGGGGTAAAACAACTAACACGTGCTCAATGCAGCGTCGATAGAAGTTTACGAGTACCTGAGAATCCAAGATGTTTTCAAGTTCTGATATTTGACCCTCACATTGCCTTGTTGTTGAAACACCTGGTAAATAGATAACTCTTCAGGTAATAAAAAACCACCGAAATGTTTCAGAGAAATTTCCAATTGCCTTGCTACCAAATAAAGAATAAAAACTACCATGTACAGCTTTTGTACATTGATCCACAGTTATTATTATCCCTATTCACACGACATTAGAATCTTCCTCTGCTTATCATTTGCCAAATTGTTTCTCTTTTATATGTGTGTTCATTTATTTTGCCCTTTCATTTTATTTTTCAATTTGACTAATTAGTGTAGCCAAGAATATCAAAATTACTCGTACCAGGGATGTTTCCAAAAATTTTATAGAGCCTTGTTTTTTTTATTTTTTTATAAGGAGCCTTGTATTAGAATCGTATTACATGTCCATTAAAGATTCCAGTTTGGGATTCATCCAAAGCTCTGATTACAACAACATTAACACGACACTACCTTTTCCAACAACAGGCGACGCTGTCATTCCAAAGATCTTGGGCTTGCTACTACATTTGTGATAAAATTCCTTCACGAAACCAAGAAAACAATTTTCAAAGATAATACTTAAACATCTGTAACAAAAGGAAAAGGAAAGTGGTAAAAAAGAATATGGGCATGATATATCCAGAGCACAAACGGCATTAACCTTCATTATTTTAGTATAGGGATGGTTACCGATAGCCCGATGGCATTCATCAATGACCATTAAGCCTACTGCTTCTAAATTAAAGAATGCCCTTCGTAAGACATCCAAAAGAACTTGGGGTGTCATTACCAAGACCTACAAAACAACAAGAAATTAATGTACTAATACAACAGTATATATGCCTGGAGTTTTTTTTTAACCCAAAAGGCAATAAAGCTAAGTAAACCAAGGAAATGCAATATAATGTGGCAAGAATGAACTGACAAAATTGTGTAACGCTCAAAAAGAAAACTAAAGATGAAGACCAAGAAAAGAAAAAAGGAACAGAAAGCAAAAAATCAGAAGTGCCCAAAACTTATGCTTTATCTGAAAACTTACATGATGCTGATTTATTTCCTTTTCCCAGGACTTATTATCCCATTCATCAACCCCCTTGCCTCCATAGTATTCTCCCACTTCGAAATCAGTATGATCCTCAATAACCTTAAATTGCTGGAAACCAAAAATTTATGAGAAATAGCCACGTGCAAGTGGGTAGAACACTTAGAGAAAAAGAAGAAAAGAGGATTGATAATTATATAAGTAAACTAGTGGATTTTCAAAATAAATAAATAAATAAATAAAAGAACATGCCTGATTAACAAGATGAACGGTGGGAGCCAAGAAAATAATAAGCTTTTTGGAGGCGGTAGACCTGATAAGTTGACCAATGTGGTTGATGAGCATAACGGCTATCATGGTCTTGCCAGTGCCTGTCTCCAAAACGGCAATGGTGTTTCTCTTCACTGCAACCTCGTACACCTCTGACTGATAACTACACACATAAAAACCATCAAATATATATATATATATATATCAATGTTGTATATATGTCAAAACTAACTTTTATTTATTCCAAATTAAAAACAAAACAGAGAGAGAAGAAACCTTCTGGGGGTGAAGGGCTTAGGAGAACCATGATGATGATCAATGGAGTTAGTTTTAGGAGGAGGAGGAGTCTGGGCTTCCTCTTGGGACTGCATTTTTTATTTTAAAAAAAAAAAAAAAAAACCAAGAAGCGAGAAGCCCTAAGAATTTAAGAATATATATAATATAAATATACAATCGTTATTATGTGGCTTCGATCATTCTTCAACAGAAAGACAGTTCAGATGATTTTTTTTTTTTTTTTTTGGTGGGGTTGAAGAAGTGGTTTTTCTCGAAAAAGGGCAGTTTCATTCACTTTCAACTTCAGAATCTCTTTTCTTCTCAAAAAAAAGAAACTCTTTTTCAGTGTGTGTGAACTCGGAAACATAAACAAACTGTTGTGTTTAGTGTGAGTGACCAGTTCGAGGTGAAGCCCACGAAAGGTTCTTTTCCCGTGGAAAGCACGGTCCAATCAAATGACAGATTTTTCGTAATACGCCGTCGTTTGGATGGGGAATTATCAATGTCCAGTCTATATGACAAATGACAGTCCTATTTTATGGGCCGACGTCCGAAGTCCGAGCGTTGCCTTTCGGACCTCGGGCGCTGTTTAAATGGGAACTGTAGTTAATTGTTTTTTCGAAAATAATAAAAAATATGTGAATATGAAAAGCTTAAGAAAGTATATAAGTTAATTTTTAGTTATAAAAATTAATATGTTATAACTTGTCAAGTTATGGTTCATAACTAGATAAATTATGAACAAACTTGTCAAGTTATGGTTTATAGCCGGACAAGTTATGGACAAAAATAGATAATAACTTATCAAGTTATGGTTCATAACCAGACAAGTTATGGACAAAAACAGTAATTTAGCCTATTTATTAACTTATGTAAACTATTGGCCTATTAATTTTAATTCATCTCAAGTCTTGGTCTATTTCTCTCTTTCTCCCTTGTTTTTTTCAAAGATGGAATAGATATAATTCTTTTATGGGATAAAATTATTTTGGTATTGTGTTACACCGAAATATATTTTTAGTATTTTTTTAATAATATTAAAGTGGTATCTTTAATTTTTTTAATATTTTGTTTTTTTTAAAAATATCTTGTTAGTATTCTGAAATTAATTTTTAAAATTTAAAATGACTTTAGTACTTGTTTATTTAATTGATAAAAAAAACTAGCATATTTAGAAAAAAATCACAAGCTTTTTTATTTTGTTATTTTCTTTTCAATATTTCAATATTTTTTTTATAAAAATGTTGATTTCTATTTAATTGATAAGAATAGTAGTTTGGACATTATGTCCCAAAAATTAGTTTCAGAGTACCAAGAAAATGTTTTTAAAAACGTCAAAGTACCATTTTGATACTATAAAAAATATGAGGTATTAAGAGCATGTTTCGCTATAATACAGTATACCAAAATGATTTTATCCGTTCTCCAATTTTTATTTATTTTTTAGAGAATTACTGAACTTACTTTAAAAGTGCATCAGTCTTGATTTTTACCTATTACTATTAATTAATACCCTTTTAACTAATATAATTATTTAATTAAAAAGATTTTAATAAAGAGTAAATAGTTAAAATCTAAACCCATGATGTCTAATAAAAAGATATTTGTCTTATTTCATCTTTTTTCTTTTATGATTGATTGTTACTTTGTTAGTGCCCTTCCCTCAAAAGAAAATGACATCAATGCCCCTGAACTTTTTGTGGTTTAGCAATTTGATCCCCGTCAATTATTCCCTTAAATTTTTAAATCTTGACACAACCCATCCAATTGATGATTCTGTTAAGTAAAAAACATTAAACAAAGTGCTCCACATGTCACTCTCAGGAGCTATTTATTAGGGACAAATCCGGTAATTAGCAAAAACAAAAATTTTGTATTAAAAAAAAAAAACCCTACTTCGTTATTTTTGTTCACTCCCATCAATTTTCCAGAAAGGTAGAACCCACAAAGCCAACGAAAACTTAGTAAATACTAACAATATAATAGCTCTTGAAAATCCATCACTTTGAAAAAAAAAATTACTGAACATTACATTTCAAATTTGTGATAACTTGAAAATAGAAGAAGACATCGAGGGGTCCATAATCGCCCCCGGTTGAATGAGGCAGGGCTAGCAGAAGACATCAAGGGGTCCATAATCACCCCGCTTGAATGAGGCGGGGCCGGCCCTGGATTTTATGGCATTCTCGATCCTTTGACCGACCTGCACAGCGAATGGATCCAAATTGTGATGTTGCATCTCCATTGCCACAAGTACAACTTGTGCATGTCCTCCACAACATCAAGAAGACCCTAGCTCGGAAGCAATGGAAGAAGGCAGAAGCAAGTGTTGCAGAGCTTCATGGACTCGAGATTATTTTGAATAAAATGTACCATTTTCACCTTTTTTGATGCTAAATATAGCATTGACAATTGCATTTGGAGATGATCCTCTCATTCCCCCCCACCCAAAATGGATTTCCTTCGGACTTTCTTTCTTGAATTATTCTCTCTAGTCTTTCCCATTCGTTACAAAGTAATTGTCTCAAAGTGGCTAACGCTGGATGAGTTAATCAACTAGTTGAAAAACAAAAAAACAAAAACAAAAACCTCCTTCTGATTTTACAAAGTCCCCATCTAATCAGATAACAGGTTTTTTTTTTTTTTTTTCCTTTCAACATACAAGCCGTATAGAAAAATGTAACTGGCAGCTTGACTGTTTAATCATGTGATTTAATTCTATCAAATTACATCTGCATATCAGAACAAGGAATTTGACAACGAGAAAAAATTTTAAGGTACAGAATTAACAAATAGAAAAAAGTTGCAAGAGATCTGACAAGTACAACCTCTCTGCGCTACCAAAATGTAATGCTACTGTCAACCAGTTAAAACCTTTAATGATACACTTGGGCTTCCAATGTTGTCACCCTTTTTTTTTTTTCATTTTCCTCTTCCTGTCTAACTTCCCAGCTTTTTCTTCATTTTTTTTCTTTTTTCAGATTTGAACTAATCTTCGTTTCCTCCTGTATACAGATACAAGAATGACTATGATAACAAGAATTGACTTCATGGATTTTGCTGTGTCAAAAAAACTCCTATACCTTACACCCATCTCCTTGACTCATATCACCACTCGAAGCAGCCCTGGCTGCGGCTCAGAGTAATCTAGGCCCTCCTCTTCAAGCAGATATCTCTGTACAGCAATCGGAAGTCTTGCAGGGGTCCGAGAACCCCTAGTGTGGTGGCCAGTCCCAACACAAATATAAACCTGCAGGCGCTGCTCTGCTGCTCTGGCAGTGCTTCGCAGCACACTCAGTTCGTGCTTCAATATATGAATAGCTTCGCTCACGTGCAGTCCATGCAGATCTATCATCCTCTCCTGTCCTCTTCCATTGCCCTGCATCTCCGGAGCAACTGGGTTCCTGTTTGCATTTTTGAAACACAGCAAACGAGAAGAACAAATGAAACAATATTGCAAAGTAAAACCTGATGATACAGGTCATTAGAATGAAAGTCAGAGTCCAGGTTTGCAGTCTGCCATCATACTCAGGCTTTTATGAAAAAACCGGCATGGGCCGGTTCAGATAGATGCGTATGAGCAGCACTTCTGGTGCTTTCAAAGTAGCATTCTGACATCAACATGACAGAGAGATATAGGAGGGGGAAGAGGGGCAGAGGGGGAGAGAGAGGGTGATGGAGAATTTGGCCAATTTTTAGGGTTAAACAGATAATTCAAACAGAAGGAGAAGTTTATAAGCCTCAGGCTTAAAGAGTGTTGTTCAGCGGACGTATCAGAGAAATTCTAAACAATTAGCAGACGAGTATCTAACAATCCACTTAATGGGTGAAGAGGTAAATGACAGATGAGATGGCAAAACAAATCTCATCCATCAATACTCCAGCAAATCATGAAAACAGTTTATACCAAGCAAAAATAAATAACAGAAGACAACAAACCTCAGACGATATATAGAATCTTGAGCTTTTCCATGAGCTGCCTTCATATGCATGTTGTGCAGCTGCCCTTTAACGCTCAACTCTTTGGCTAGAGCCTTATTACCAACAAGGTATGCTTGCCGTGCCTGTTTTCCCAACAAAAGCAAGTAACAAAGTTAACACGGTGCAGTGGGTGAACTTGATCAAACAGGAACATGATAACCTAATAAATGGCATCAACAGAAGCAGCACGCCAGTATTGGGAATTTGTGACAGGGAAAGCATTCTATAAAAATGAACGCAATAAGTCTGCCCGTTCATGTGATAAACAGTTAAGGGGTTCTCGAGGGATAAAACTAGAAAATTTGAGGAAAGTCATAATGTCAAAACAAACAAAAAGGAGTATCTAGGCAAAGATAATATAACATGCAATTAGTGAAATGCCTACCCTAGAAATGTCCCATAAAAAAAAGGTATGGACCACTTATGCAAAAGAAAAAAGAAAAGAAAAAAAAAAAAAAAAAAAAAAAAAAAGGGGAAACGCCCCC